TTAGGTGAGGGAGATGCTGGAGAGGCGGGCACAGGCAGCTGGGCCGAGCTGTCCACCACCCGGGTGCCAGCATTTCGACTCTCTCACACTGTGATGATTAAAACGGCAGACAGGATTTTCCAAGCGTCCATTTCTGCACTGGATGGGCCCATATGCTGATTCGTCTCTAATTCCCATAAGAGGCATGATTTGCTATATTTGATACAGGAGGAAGYTGGCACTCAGAAAGGTGGAGTCACTTGCTTGAGGTCACCTAGCTGGTTGACAGGGGGGCCCAGATCCAAACCCAGGTCTGCGCGATGCCAGGGGCCGTCCCTCTGGGTAGGGTCCATCGATTCCCAGCAGCATCAGGAGCATCCCGTCTGCTAGTTATGGAGCACTAACTATGTACAGGGCGMGATCTAAAGCTTACACTATGAAGGACTGAGGCCGGACGCTCATGACAGAGGAAGAACTTGGGGCTCCCCAAAAGGGGTATCATTTACCCAATGTCAAGGGCTTGCCAGGTGGGAGGCGAGATCTGAACCAAATCGTAACCCGCTGCGATCCATACGATGATGGGCCTGCAACCCTCTCGAGGAGGCAGAGCTGGGCTGGTGCCCAAGGGGTCAGGGCATAAGGGCAAAGGGGGGAAGACTTATGGAAGTCTGCAGAGAGGAGGTGGCAGCTGGGCAGAGGCAGGGCCAGGACTGTGAGGGACATCTGTGTCTTAGAACAAGCCCACGGCCTCCGTCTCAGACAGGCTGGGCCCCTCTCAGACAGGATATCCTGTCTCCTCTGCTGGGTATCCTCAGCTTCTCCAGGGTCCTGCTTTTCAAACGTGTCCTCTGGTGCCCACTGGTCCAGGGCCAGCCCTGCCTTCCAGGCCTCTCAGCTGTTCCTGCCCATCTCCCCACCCATCTCATTGCCCCAGCAGATTCAATTAACCAATTTGATGCTCCAGCTGCAGAAAGCCAAGTAATTATGGAAAACAGACCAGGTGCCTTGGAACTTGCTCTCACAGTGGGGCCTGGGAGGCCTCCAAACAGACAGCAAGCTGGGAGGGAGGCAGAGCCATCTAGGCCWAGGCCGGCCAGCCCAGCCTGCATAAGAGAGCTCTCTGGCCAGCTCTGACAAATACAGATGCTCCCCAAAGAGCAAAACAAAAGCAGAGACCCAGGCTGGTTCTGTTACTATGGGCTGGGGCTTGGTCATCAGGAATTTTTAAAAGTCTTTGTCCCATTTTCTGTTGCTATAACGAAATACCTGAGGCTGGGGAATTTATTAAGAAGAAAGGTTCATTTGGCTCCTACCTGGGTTTTTTTTTTTTTTTTTTGGATCTTCCCAAACTGAAACTGTGTACTCAATAAGCACTATGTACTCAATAACTGTGTACTCAATAACTCCCTATGCCTCCCCTCCCATTCCCTAAGGACCTTCATTCTGTTCTCTATGATTGTGACTACTCTGCGTACTTCAAATAGATGAAATCATGCACTGTGAGTCCTTTAATGACTKCCCATCTTCAATGTTTATCCATGTTGGGGCAGGTGATGGATTTTCCTTCTTTTTTAAGGCTGAGTAATATTCCACTGTATGGACAGACCACAGTTTCTTTATCCATTCATTCCTGCTTGGACACTTGGGTATTTTGCCCCATTGAGTTATTGTGAATAATGCTGCTGTGAACATTGGTGTACAAATATCTGTCCATGCTTTGAATTCCTTTGCACATATACCTTGACACAGAATCGCTACATCATATGACAATTCCATTTCTAATATTTTGAAGTATCGCCATTCAGTTTCTTTCTTTCCTCCTTCTCCTTCCTTCCCTCCCTTTCTTCCTTCCAAAGTGGCCCAAAGACCTCCGGGGCCAGCTTCACTTTCCTTGGGTTCTGTAAACCTTCCTGCATTTCCCAGAAGGACTCTGGACCACACGTTGCTATCTCAGGAGTCAAAAAGTAAAGTAAATACTCCCCTTTCTTTTCTTTTCTGTCTTCCTTTAAACAAAACAAAACAACCCTCAGTTGCAGAAATCACCTAATTGAAAGTTGCAGGGGAAGAACCCTCCTCCACACAGGGAAGGGAACTATTCAGAAAGCCCAGCCCAGCCGCTAATTGCTAATTGCGGGTTTGTATTGGGGATTCTTGGCAAATGCTTAAATTGCACATCAACCTGACTTTTGTGATGAAGTGTTTGGAAACACACAAGGGGGCTGGGTTTGAGATCCTCAGCCTGGAGGTGACAGCGSGCTGCTTTCTCTGCTGACAAATAAAGCAAGTGAGAATCTTGTGGATTTGCATTCAGGAGAGCGGCAGCTTTGCCTGGATTTCTACAGGCTGCACCCCCATTTCCTCTACTATCCCAGCCAGTGGCCTGTATATAAAATGCCAGCCAGCCGTGATTCCTACTCACACTGTGGCTCCGAACCCTGACTGAACATCAGAAATATCTGGGTGCCTTAAAAATACATTTACATATGTCGGGCACAGTGGTGCACACCTGTCATCCCAGCAGCTCGGGAGGCTGAGGCAGGAGGATGGCGAGTTCAGAGCCAGCCTCGACAACTTAGTGAGGCCCTGAGCAACTCAGTGAGACTCTGTCCCTCGGGAGGCTGAGGCAGGAGGATTGCAAAGCCAGCCTCAACAACTTAGTGAGGCCCTGTTTCAAAATAAAATATAAAAAAGGACCAGGATGTGGCTCARTGGTTAAGCGCCCCTGAGTTCAATCTCCAGTCCCCCGCAAAATAGTTGTGAGAGTGCTCACTCTGTGCTAGGGACAGTGCCCTGCACTGTGTGTGTGCTGATCTTGTGGATCTACCTAGTGATCCTTAGAGGGGTCTTTGTTATTCCCGTTTCACAGATGAGCAAAACCTAAGCACATAGACTGGCCAAGGGCCACCAAGGTGACTGAGTGGCAAAGTTGGGACCCAGGCTGGATCTCCGGCCTGTGCACTCAACCCCTGACCTTCTGGTCCTTGGTCCTTGTACACCTTTCTGTCATGTCACTCAATGTAACAGGCATGTGCTGCTTTTGTAGGAAAATTTTAGATGAAATATGGAAGTGTCGGGGCTCCCAGGGCCCTCTGAGGTCCCCTCTTCATCCAAGCAGGCCACAGGAAGTCTTTTATTCCAGTCCAGGTTGGAAATAGATATTCACGCCTTGATCTGCGTTTTGGTTCAACCTCACTCCCTCGGCCTGCTCGCCTGCCACTCAGGGACTGGACAGTCACTGATCTGTCTGGGCCTGACACCTTGGAGGGGGCGGCCCTGGTCTGTAACAGCAGCTGTCTCAGGCTGCACCAGTGAGGATCGTGAGATCTGCACAGGGCAGGCCACAGGCCCTGAGAAGGTCCAGAGTCAAGAGGCCCATGGGGGGTCTCCGAGAATGGACACGGGCAATATAGGAAGTGTAACCAGCTTGTGCAGAGGGAGCCTTGCACGAGGGTTCTTCAGCCCTGAGCTCGTGGGAGACCTGGGGCCAGGGAGTCTAGACTAGATCTAAGCAGAGAGCTTCCATTTGCCCCAGAGCAGGACTCCTYAAGGGGTGACGTTGGGCCCCCAATGCCAGCCCTACCAGGTGCTGGAGGAAACGCAGACCTTTGACCTGTCGAGCTGGCAAGACCAGAGCTTGAGGGCTTGGGTGGGCTGCGTAGCCTGAGTCACTAGACCTGTAACCTGAGGACGACGATAGTGACTGACTGACAGGGCGGGTCATGGTGAATGTTATCYGTGACATAGGGACGTACCTACTGTGATAAGGACACACGGAATGATACTGTGACTTTCACTGAATATGATCTCCTGTGTGCGAGGCTTCTGAGACAGCTCCGGCTGATCCCTACCTCACACCATTTTTACCCTTGTGAAATCCCTTCCTCCTGAATGTGGGCWGGACCCAGTGAGTCGCTCCAATRAATAGAACCGGGCRAGAGTGACAGTATGTTACTTCCAGTATCAGATGACAAAAGATTCCTCCTTTCCCTCTGTCGCTCCTTCACTTGACCACCAYGATGGAAGCCGTCTGCCATGCCGTGAACTGCCCCATGGAGCAGTCCACACCGCAAGGAATCGAGGAAGATCATTGGCCAACCACCGGGAAGGGACCGAGACCCCCAGTCCAACAGCCTGCAGGGAACTGAGTCCTGCCATCCCAGACCCTCACAATGAATCCAACCACACATATGATTATGGTGCACCAATAAATAAATAAACAAATAACCACAATAAAAAAGAAAACAGAGCTTCCCGGGTTGGGCCTTCAGATGAGCCTGCAGCCCCAGCCAACTCCCTGACTGCCACCTTGTCAGAGATGCTCAGTCAGAGCCACTCAGCAAGACTCTGACTAYGCTCCCCAGCACAGGAACTGTGATTGTTGATGTAAGCTACAGTGCGACTACTGCACCCTGGAAACAAGACTAAATCACACCCTGGAAGAAAGCAGACTGAACTCTACAGGACAGAGGCAGATGATGCCTTTACTTAAACATTCTATCCTCCGGGAATGCTTTCAAAATCCTCCTCTCTGAGTTATTGACTCTATTTTCTTATCCGTACCCCTATTAGACTAAGGAACTTGAATCATCATCATCATCATCATCAAAGATTCCACACAGTGAGCACTTATTATGTACCAGGTACTGTTCTGTGGTCATTAGATACTTATTCATCACAAGAATCTTATGATACAAGCACCATAATCTTATGATACAAGCACCCCAGTGAGAAAACGGAAGCTCAGAGGCAGCGTTCAGTGACCGGTCAAAGATCTGAGTTATCATGTGGCAGTCCCGGGAAATCTAGCTCCGGAGTCAGATCCGTAACACAGAACCATTTTCTTACACGGCTCCACGGTCTTGCCCAAGTTCACAGACGGTCAGTGGATTCACACTCAGCTGGCTGAACATCCGACACGACGTCCCTAAACACAACTCACTCCAGATGCCTTTCATCTCTAGGACAAGAAGGGGTGGAACGGGCCTCACCTGGGCTTCCTCGAGGTCTGGGAGGCTRCCTACCTGTGAACACGAGGCTGGCATTCTCCAGTTCTTCTTGGGGAACCTTGAAGCTAAAGGACTCATTGTAGAAAGGGTCAATGGTGCCTCTTAGGAAGGATGTCTTCTTGGTTTTCACGAGCTTGAGTCCGTGCACCAGCTGGATTTTCACAAATGGGTCTGAGATTTGGACACAGCATCAGAGAACGTTGAAGACCATGAAAACGAATCCACTCACCCCTCCACTAGGACCACCCCCTCCACCAGTCCAGAACTCTCTTTCATTGATTAAGTTCCCATCCATCCATCTCTTCTATCCTCCACGCACCATTTCCCCATCCATTCCTTATCTGCTCATCCTTGTCCTTCTTCCTCAGGTATCTAACATGTACCAACTTCCCCCAGGTTTCAGCCACGGAGCTCATTTTAAGATAAGAAAACTGAGGACTCAACAGAACAAATGATTTACTCAAGCTCAGACCAGTAGAGTTAAAACCAGGCTCAGAGGTTACCCTGGATCTTTGTCTGCTGACAGATTTATCACGCCAGGGAGCTCACAGCCCACCCACAGGAGAAAAGAGATTGACGAATTATAAATATCATCCTTCGATCATTTTATAGGGACTCATGTACATTAACTAATTTAACATTTATTTAAGCTCTCAATGCAATGAGATGAATACTGTTAGTATGCCAACTTTTGAGATGGAGACATCGAGGCATTTAGAGAAGTTAAATAACTTCCCCCAAGACCACATCATCTGTATGCAGCGGAACTGAGATTTGGTTCCAGGAAGTTTGACTCCTGAACCTTTTTACTCATTCATCACACCGTCTCTCTCCCACTGGGATGAGTCTGAAACCCTCCAAACCTCACACCATTCCTTCCACCAGTTCCCTTGAAATCCCCTGTTTTACAATGTGTCTTTTGAGCATGCAATGTGTCTTCTAGACTCGGTTGTCACCTTATTGCAAATATAATCTATTTTGTTTATTGCATTTAGAGAAAACACTGAACTTAAGAGGTGCCAGGGACCGTGGCTATTTTCACAAGAATACCTTTTGCTGTCATGGGAGAAGCTACATACAAATGTCCCAACACCTGTTCCAGTTCATTAAAGGTCATGTTTGAGTTGGTTTTGCTATAGACACTTAACACATCATAGTCCTTTCAATTAACACATAGCCCTTTCAAAGCTGGGGTGTATAAAGATTTATGCTACACATGGAATGAGCTGGGGGTGAAAAAAGAAACAACCAGGCTGTGCCCACCACGCTGGTGGATTGGAATACAAAGTCCTTACACACTACCGCCACCTAGAGCATGGTGTCTCTATTGCAGGCACAGTTTTGAGAAGGCGAGCAACCTCCTCGCGGCTTCGTGTGTTCAAAGACAATCTAGATTTTTCAGGAGTGATCACACCTGGTCACAGTCCACTCCCCAGTTCAAATAGGGCTCCCAAGATGGTATCAAGTACCTACTTCATCCTAAGAGATGTTTGATCATTTATTTTCCTTCTTGAACTAGCATCCTAATTCTGAATGCTATCCACTCTCCCAAGGCCTTATCGAGAGAACACAGGATGCAGAAAAATCAGGTCCCCCAAACAAACACAGATGTCCCCTTAAAGAATTTAGTGTGGGGGGGAGGTAGATCTGAGTGTACCTGAGCCTTGGCTCACATCGGTCTGAAGAAGCTGCTTGGCTCGAATGATGTCCACATTCAGTCTCCCGGCACTCGGGAGGTAATTCAGAGACAGGAGCAGCTCCCCCAGCTCCACTTCATTCTGCAGAGAAAAAAAATGGTGAGAAAGTTGCTTGTTTTTTTCTTTTTCTCTCTCATTCCTTTTGCACCCACCATGCAAGAGACGGATTCCAGCAGCTTCTAAATGAGTAGCTGTGGGTGGATCCGTTGACAGTGGGTGCCTGTCTCGTTGACTTCTTTTAGATTCTGCCTCCAATTATTTTCTCCAGTCCATCACAGAATGTTTTCTTCTGCCCTTAGAGCCCTTAACAGCAGCAACCACAATTTTAACAACAAAAGTTTGGATAATTTAAAAAATGCAAGATGTCACGTATTAGGCTGAGTGCTCTCTATATGTCATAGCAAATTTAATCTTCATAATGAGTCCCCGAGGAGTTAGTTTATTTACTGACTGAACARATGAAGAAACGGAGGCTCAGAGGGGTTAAGTAACATGTCCAAGGCCACACAGCACGAAAGTGGTAGGACTGGCCTTTAGAGCCAAGGAAGCTGCGGGACGGTGGGGCACAGGCTCAGGCTGCCATTTTGACAGGGAGACCAACTCTCTCTGAGAGGTGAGGCTGGCGGACGGCTCCAAATGTCATGAAGGACTGAGGCTCTGGAGGCAGGGAGGGGGCTCACCAAGCAGAGGGGACAGTGAGGGTCAGGGCCGGTGGCGGAGGAAGGAATGAACTCGGTGTGTTTAAGGGACAGAGGAAAGGCCAGGAAGAGCTGATGCGAGAGAYGTCCATCAGAGCCAGAGCAAGTTGTCCAGCGCTGTCCCCCTTGGCCACCCCCAAGGCCACCCTCACAGGACTCAGGAGGAGGAGGAGAGGCCATCTCCTAGGCCCTCAGCACCTACAGGCCTTTCCTGGTTGGACCGGGCGGCTCTCCTTCCTGGGGCCCGAACACCCCATCAGCAAGGCAGCTGCCCATGCGTCCCCAGGGTCTCTGACAGCCACTGATCTCCTAGAAAGAGTCTCAGATCTTTCTAGCAAAGCCCTTTCCCTCCTCCTTCCCCCTGAGGACACAAGCTTCGCCCATGCTGTCCCCACCCYGAGCCCGGGATGGCGTGTCTTCTGGCCAAGCGTCGGCCTCGATCCTCTCCCTCCTGCGGGACGGGAGCCATCAATTTGCACAAGACGGATGTCTGGAGTCAGGGGACAGCTGGTGGAAGATAGAGAGGGCGCTCGCTGAGCCCSGTCAGAGGGTCTGCTGATCCGCGTAACCAACATTCATTCCATAACCTACGTCGACAAGGCGTGGCCCCGGGGGCGAGTGCGGGGAACGTGGGAAACAGCCACAGTTCCAGAGGTGGCACCCCCATTAGAAAGGCCACAGCAAACAGATCAATAATTACACAAAAGCAGAAAGTGGCAGGTGTGGGCCAGGTTGTAACTCTGCTGGTGACAATGCCACAYGGCGCGGCCACTGTGGTCAGCCACTGTGGCCGCTCCCACAAAGGTTGCACACGGAGCTCCCACGCAGGCCAGCGAGTCTACTCACAGGTAATCCCACCCCCCCCAGAGCAGAAAACACGCAGCCGCACCAAAACCTGCTCCCCAACGTTCACAACAGCCCCAAGGGGGAGAGGCCCAGTGTCCACCATGGGGAAAAACAACTTATGGTCCATCCAGGTGATGGGTGCTCTTCAGATACGATGAGGAACGGGGACGCTGACAGGTGCTACAATGTGGGTGAACCTCGAGGTCATGCTCAGTCCAAGAAGCCAGACACAAAAGATCACATTTGGTAGGACTCCATCCAGACCCGCAAACCCACAGGGACAGGAAGCAGACTGAGCAGCTGCTGGGGCCTAGGAGCGGTGGGCAAAGCAGTGTGACTGCTTCATGGGCACAGGGTCTCCTTTGGTGATAGAATGTTCTGGAATTCGAGGTGATGGCGGCACACCACGGGGTGTGGACTCAATGTCGCTGAATCACATACTTTGAAATGGCTGAATTTATGTTTATATGAATTTCACCTCAATTAAAAAAAAAATTATAGGGCTTATGTGTTAACGGGCTACAGGAACCAGACCCAGGAAGACTGAAGTACAGCCTATTCCCCGCATGGGCGGGGACAGAAAGGGCTTCATGCAGAAGGAGGTACTTGGGCCAGGCCTTGAAAGGTACGTAGGATTTGGTCCGGTTTATTCTATTGCTGGAAAATGTTACAACAAAGGCCATCCATGCAAATTCTGCTCCTGAACTTCCCCATCTTACCACATAAAGCCCCAAGTGACTTGTATTTATAATAAAGTAGCCAATGATGCTTAAAAACTTAAGATTTTAAGATAAATTAGGAATCTCCTTACAAATAACATCACCCCCCTTTGCATTCCCGGTTTGTGTGGGTAAGCGGGAAAGAATGCTGGCTTCCCTTAGGCAGAACAGGTGTGTACTCTGGACCCCCAGAAGCAGGTGAGTTCCTCCACCTCCACTTCAAATAACAGAAATAGGGAAAAGAGTTGCTATTTCAGTAATAACAATGAAGGAATCATTGAGACACGAGGACCTTGCTGAGATTGACAGTTGAGAACTATTACTATTTTGAATGGCATAAGGTAGGAATTGGGGCCTCAAGGTCTTTATTTTAACCCAGACCTGGAGAAAGTGCAGAGTCCCCCACTTTAACATCTGCCCCAGAAGGCGCAGCACAGAGGAACAGCAGCAGCCCACGTGGGCATCAGAAACTCTAGTTCATGCCTAGCACGCTTGAGGCCCTGGGTTCCTTCCCCAGCACCTTAGAAACAAAACCAAAAGCCAAAACCAACTGCAGTTCTAAAAACCAGAAGGCAAAAATGTCCCCCCAAGGTTTCCTGGAGCCAGAGTCTTTTTAATTCCTCTTCCCCTGCGGAAGTATCTGATACTACATTTAAAAGCTGACCAGTAGCCAGTGGATAAAGAACTTCAAACGTGGAAACCGAAAGCAGGGCCACCTCATCCAGAAGCTCCCCAACCCATGGCCCCCCAAGACAGATCGTGGAGTTAATGGTGCCCTTTGCAGATGCCCGTAAAGTACTGGTGGATTAAAACTGCACCAACTCGGGGTGATTTTGCCCTTTCCCCATCTTCTTCAGGGATGTTTGACAATGTCACCACAGTTTTGATGTCCACAACTTGGGATAAGGATGCCACTGGCATCTGGTCTGGTGGGAAGACGTCAAGGATACTGCTAAACATCCTACAAGGTGCAGACAGCTTCCTCTTGCCTCAATGAAGAATGATCTGACTGCAAATATTCATAGTGCCCGGATTGAGAAATCCTGAACCAAACCCAGGAATCCTGGGCTCCTTCAGGTTTCTCTCTTGGACACAACTCTGGCCAAGCGAATTGTTAACAGGAACCAGACTTGAACTCTTCTGCAATCAATTTCAGAAAAGACTGTTTGTTCCCTGCCTCAGTGGAACTTGTCCTGAACCTTCTTCAGACCCCAAGAGGCCAAAGCACCAGCTCCCAGTCAGAACCGGGAAAGGCTGAGCTACGGTTCCCCTCCTTCCGCTTCCTTCCCATAGGATAATCCTCCCAGGAAGTGGGCTCGCAGTCCCAAGGAGAGTGGATGCTTGTTCTGGAAGGGTCTCGTTCCTGAAGTCCCCTTTCCCTTAACCAAATTTAGTACAATAATGTTGGATGCCGGAGCTGAAATAATTCAGCGGCACACTCCATAAAAGAAAACAGAACCATGCCTTTCGCTCTTCTCCCTCTTTAAAATCCTCCATGGCTCTTAAAATCTAGAGCTCTCAGCCTGGTCTGCAGCGGGATCCGCCCCCCTCGGCACTTCTGACACTTGCAAGGCGTCCTTCTTCACCGTGGAGGGCTGTCCTGTGCACTGTAGGACAGTAGGTCCCCAGCGTCCACCAGCTGGGAGCCAGTGGCATCCCCTCCCCACTCCTGTGACAACCCCAAATGTCTCCGGGCATTGCAATGTCCCCTGAGGGTAAAACCACCCGGCTGAGAACTACCCATCAGAAGGACCTAAATGAGTTGGCAGAACCCATCCACCAACCACGTCTTCCTTCTATTTTTTGAGAACACAAGATTCCTCCAAGGCTTGCCTCTGCTGTTTCCTGGGAATCTCAGGTCAAATGTCACCTTCTCATCTAAGCTTTCCGTGGCCGTCCCACTACAAACAGCCCCCTGTGTCTATCAGACCACTTTGTCTTATTTCCTTCATGATACTTTGTTCTTTCCTTGTTCTTTCCTGATATTTTCTTGCTCTCCCTAAAGGCCAGGACGGTGCCCATCCGCCTGCTACTGTAGATGATCCACCTTGTGATGGTTCGACTCATGATCTATTTCCACTTTACAGTGACATGAAAGGAATCGCCACTCAGTAGAAACCATCCTTTGACTTTTGATCTTTCCCTGGCCTAGTGATATGTGGTCTTGCAATGCTCCGGCTGTGGCAGTGAGCTCAGCTCCCAATCAGTCACATGATCAAAGGAGAAACGAGGAGTGTGCTGTGTTGCTGAGCTGGGATGTTTGGTAGGTTAGATGGTGCAATGGTCAGCTTTCCCTCAMTGTAACAACATACTTGAGATAATCAACTTATAAAGAAGAAAGGTTTATTTTGGTTCACAGTTTCAGAACTTTGATTCCATGATCTGTTGGCTCCTTTGCTTTGGGGCTGTGGTGAGGCAGCACATCATGGTTGGAGTACATGGTGGAACAAACCCATTCACTTCATGGGCAGGAGGTGAAGGAGGGGAAGAGGAAGGGGTTAGGGTCTCATTCTCCCTTTCAACGGCACACCTCCAATGACCTGAAGACTTCCTAGGCCCCAGCTCTTAAAGGCTCTGCCATTCCCCAAAAGTGCCACTCAGGGGAACAAGTCTTCATTACATGGACCTTTGGAGACACTTAAGATCCTAATTATAGAAGCAGAATAAATCCTTTTTTTTACTGGGATTAAACTCAGGGGCACTTGCCCACTGAACCACGTTCAAAGCCCTATTTTATATTTGATTTAGAGGCAGGATCTCACTGAGTTGCTTAGTGCCTCATTGTTGCTGAGGCTGGCTTTGAACCAGCGACCCTCCT